CAGACAATTCCTAGTTCGTACTGAACTAAAAAGACCAATGAATTATTAAGACCGTGCAAGACGATCTAGTTGATGTCGGTCAGTGTCGCGAATATATTCCTAATAGTTCGTAGTTCATGAACTATACAAGCCTACTATCTTAGAATAATAACGCATAGAAACCTAGCCCGCACACGCTAAGCGAGGCAAATTAAAGCGCGCCAAAAGGGCCTACACGAGCGGGCGGGCCTTCAGTGCTCAAGGTCAACTTGCACCGCGAACAGCTCCAGAATTTTAGCTAAAAATGACGAAATGTGCGGTAAATGAGTGTAAAAATACGTCAGACAAACATAAAATAGATACCACACTTCACATTCCACAAGGAAGTAACGCGTTTCAACTTGTATTTTTATATAAATATTCACTAAAACCGAAAATTAACCTACTACTAAAACTAGCCTACATGAATTCGATTTTAGCCTCACTTGTGACAGTTCGTTTGATATGAAACTATCATTCTATGCGTTATTATTCTAAGCCTACTATGTATAAATATTATTGTCCAAATGTTTAATTGCCGTAATTTTATTTAATGTAAACTTTATTTCAATTTCTAATGAAAGTTTAATATAAACTTACATTCTATAATTTCAATTTTTATAACAATCATTCACTGTAACACTCGTTTTAAATAATAATTAATAAGGGGTGCGCCTCACTTGTGTGAAAATAAAATTCATTTAATATAATTTTCACTTGGGCAAAATACACTTCCTACAACTTCATTTCATATTCTCGTTTGTAATAATATTCACATTATATAAGAAGAACATTTTATACAAAGTTTTATATAACCAACATTTTATATATTGTCAATTCATATAATTTTTACGAGGTATTAATGTGCGCCCATCCTTTAGTAGGTTAAGTTAGAATATGAAAAAGCAGCACGAGGCAAGCCAAGCCAAACCGACTTTGTTTGCGTTTCCGAAAACGTTTTAGATAAATTTATTTCAGTTCAAAGATCTATTTAACTATGCCAACTAATGTTTATATGTATATAACTTATAGTTGTTATTTAAAATTATTGTTAGGGTTAATGATTTAAAAAAAAATTATAGAATGTAATGTTAGGGCAAAAATTTAATTATAGAATGTAAGTTGATATTAAACGCTCGATAAGTGAAGTTATATGAAAAAAGTTTATATTAAATTAAATTATATTAAATGAGCGTTAGGTTAAAAATATTTATATAGTTATTATTAAGTATTGATTCAAAGATCGAACAACACGAAGAAATATTCCCTCGAACGCTCTTACCAACATAGCTAATGAAGATCTTATGAATTTCTCCATGCGCTTGCTGCAGTTATTTATATTGTGTTTAAAAACGACTTCTTGCCGTCAGCGCCACCCGTGAGAAACCTATTTAATATTTTTTAGTAAAAGGAAAACACTGGGGTTTGGCCACGGATATGAAAAACTTGTGTATCAAATCAGACCTTACCACCTTTAATCTAAATAAAAAAATCTTAACAAAACAGGACCGTTCGTGAAAAAAGATGACGGAAAGACGGTAGGAATGTCAGAGGCGCACAATGCTATTCATACGAGTATAATACGCCATAAGAGCCCTATGAAAGCCGTATAGATGTGCCAATTCTTTACACTCGTGCGGAAGTAGGTTGACTCTCAAAAACTGGAAATACACAAAAGATTGTTCATAATATGGGTTCGTATCTTATTTTAGACTAGGGTATCATTCCGAATGAATAAACAACTAGGCAGAATGTCGATTCGCCCTGCCGAGTTTTTCTTTTTCTCATTTTTCTTTTTTCGCAGTTCTACAGTTTCAGCGTGTATAATTTTTCAATTGAATATTTGCCCACAGATTTAACATGGTAACCTTTGACCTCTTATTATCTCGGGTCTGTGTCACCTATGGGGTTAGCACGATGGTTAAACACGAAAATTATTATACATATGTACTTATTCTGAAATGTTTGTTGCTGTTATGGAATAGAAATGTTACTTGTGAAAGAAAAGATTTTGATAATTTAGAAACTACAACAAAACCCCTTCAAATAGCATTCGTATTGTATTTTTATTAATTGTTGTTTTACCTGAAAGGGTAATTATTAGTTATTACGAGTAGCTGTTCCTTTTCGACTAAAATGGTGTCTCTTGAGAAGAAATTAATTATAATAATTTCATTCTGCAACATAACCACTCAACTAACAGATAGGTATGCATGAAATTTGGAATGACAATAAAAATACAGTTCTACTATAATAGGTCTTTTTCAAAATTTGAATGAAGATATTAGTCAAATAGAAGCATTTCGTAGTAATATCATTGAATTTGAACAAAACTGTATTTACAACAAATATTTAATTTAAATGGTTTCCGCCCTCTTTTTCGGCCGTTAATAGGTTTTAACCGGATTTAAACCCGGTGTTAACAAAGCGTCGAGTTATATTAGAACCCGAGCCGCTTGTCCATCTCAGTTCCAGCCTTTGACATCGTGATAATTTTTAATAAAATTTTAAACAACCCGTGTCTGACGCAAAAACTACTGCTTGAAGTAGAACGGGATTGCCATTGCTTAATTAAACTTTGAAAATGGCATATTCTTGCATTGAATTGTAAAATGCGCTGCTACAATTACTGCAGAACAATAGCTCTAGTCGCACTTAAAACCATAAATTAAAGGTTAAATAAAAAAGTAAAATTTGACCTAATCCTTTATTTCGAATTTCCTTTGCGAACAAGCTTAAAATAAAAATATAATAAAAACAACATATTTTCGTAAATTTTAAAACTTATTATAAACATGAATAACTTAATAGGAATGTATATAATTATTGCGTTTTGTATGATATTCTTTTCTGACATATATTGTTAATCGTGCTTAGGCTTTGGTTTTCCAGTCTTTAATGTAACTAAATCTATTAATTAAATTTAAATGGGTGCTGTACATGTTTTACAGACAGATTCCATTAAAACAACCAATTCAATTCCGATGAGTTGTAGTTAGTTTCAATGCATATTATTGGCAATCAGCACAAATTGTGTTGAAAGTACTTGTTATACTTGTTGTAGTCGGACAAGACAACAAGTACATTAAATGCAACTGTGCGGGTTACAAAGACGCAACAAAGAAACTAACTATTGCAAAGAATCACAAAAAAACTTTACCCCCAACTTACCCTCAAGTTTTTTTTTTCTATTTGGCCCTTATTTTAAAGCCGATAGCTTTACAAATAGGAGGCATATTATATAGGTACACAGGCAAAGGCAAATCTGGACCACACTGTATAAACCCCTACTTGCCCTTAACTGTTTTTTGTAACCCTAAATTTAAGATCACAAATAATGTGGTGTTATAAATAGGGTATTTCTGCGTACATATAATAAAACTTGAGGGGAAATTTGTACAAAACTAAAGAAAATCATTTTAGAAAAACTTGCCCTCAAGTTTTTCTTTTGGACCCTAATATTAGGCCTTAAATTGTGTGTTTTTTTAACTTCAAACGACATCTATTTGAAAGCCGGGTAGACATAAAAAGGTAGTTAAACATAAAAAAATAATGCTACAAGTCAAATATAAAATGGACGTCACCCGCATGAAAATGTACAGCATTAATGCAAAATTCGCAAACGATTTATAAAGCAAATAATAATATTAATGTCATGGCACCGTTCTTTGAAATTGTTTCGTAATTTTTGAAATCAAAATGCGGCTTACTTACTAAAATTCCTTGAAGGTAATAATAATGGTGCAGTCATGTGTACTTCGATTGATATAAGTTTTAATCACCCCATTATTATTTGGCTCCAAGCCTAAATAGACACACAGAGAGTAAATTCGATATTATTTACGATCTTACCTCTAAGAAAAGGAAATGATATCTAAGTAACCCAACAACTGACGGTCACCATAAGGTGTAACAAGTTCACACTGCGTTCGAGACGTTCGAATTATCCACTTCTTTGGTATATGGAATCACTCGTATAGGTACTATGTCCTAAATCCCGTGTATATAACCATGTATTGACATTAAACTTAATTTTTTGTAAAATTATGGGGTTTTTTTTAATACTTTTTGTCACTCATTTGGTGTTTTTTATGCAACGTTTTGTATGCTTTTTTGTTTTTAATTTTGTTACATCCAATTTACATTTTGGTTTTTTCATGTCAATTGACGTTTGCAGTATCTCTTGATGTTTACTTTTTGCCTCAAAATAATATTTACACATAGGATTTTCTTTTTGTATTTTTTATTTTGTTTTTTCTTTTTTTTTGCTACGTTTATTTTTTTTTATTATATTTTTTGTCCTTTTGTGCAATTTTATAATTTTTTTCAAGAATTTTTTAATACATTTTAAATTTTTTTTGGTTTTTAAGTTTTTACATCAAATTAAATTTTTTGTTTATCTTGTAGTTTGATTTAATAAGTCCAGTAGACAAGTAATTTAGTAGTGTTCCTATTTTTCTTGAACATAACGCTTTAAACATTTTTTTTTCTTTTTTGTTTTTTTTAATTTTTTTTTTGCCGGCACGCATTTTTTTATTATATTTTTAAATTTTTTTTTGGTTTTTAAGTTTTTACATCAAATTAATTTGTTTTTCATGTAGTTTGATATAGTAATAATGCTGAAACTATTTTCTTTTGCTTTTGATTTTATTTTTGCAATTAATTTTTTTTTGATGTCGTTTAATGTTAGTGCATCCCCTTATTTTTACCATTTTGTAAATCCGCGTTGAAGTACACGGAAGATTTTTTTTTTTATGCTTTTTGTGTTTTGGATATTTTGTTTGTGGGGTACAAAGATGTTTATGATGATTAAGATGATTTTTATTTTTTTGTATTTTTATTTTTGTATTTTTTTGTGTCATTATATATTGACGACAGTGCATACCTTTCACAATTAATAATGTTTTAAACATTTTTTTCTTTATGTATTTTGTTTTTGTGCACTTAACATTTTTAATTCTTAAGCGAAAGAGATACCGTAGAGATACACCCTATAGGTACAACATATACTAGGGTAGTTTTGTATTTTTTTAACTGTTTAAACAAGATTAAGGTAAATGTCAATAATCATTCATTCATTAGTGCTTAGCCTAGTACTTATTACTATTTGTTTAACAATCTTGCAATCCTATTCCATGTTAAATGTCCTTTCACTGTAACCAATGTCGTTACTCTCCGCACTTATTTCATAACTTTACACTCTAAAGTACACTTTACATTCATGCTTTATGATCTGGCCCACACATATCTACTCTTAGGTACTACTTAAAAATATCTTGTACAACTACGACTCTTTTGGAGCCGACGTTGATTAATGTTTATATAGTTTTGAATTAGTAAACATAGTTTTCTAAGTCAAAACTAGTTTAGCCTAAAATAAATAGCATGATTATCAAAAGGACCGGAATCGTGACAGCGTGTCTCAATTTAAGAGCTGTGGGCCCCAAGGAGTGAATCTGCCGCACTCCTAAAGGTCCCCAGGTAATCAAAAGTGGGAGACGTTGAACAATATTCCAGTGACTTATTATTAGACTTATAATTATAACCCATATTAGCAATATAAGTTATCAATAATATTAATAACTGTTAGTGAAGTGTTATGTTGTTAAATTCTTGCATATATATCAAAAAGCGAAAGAAAGAAAAATTTTCTCTGTTCCTGCCTTTTAGATTTCAAAAACAAAACCATTTTATTCAAGAGAAAAATTTGTGTCGGCGTTTCTCAATCTAAAGACTGTGGGCAACGGGGAGTGTAACAAATAACTTCCAGAGGCCCTTATTTAATAAAGATTGAGAAACGCTGAATGATACTCCAAAAATAATACATATAAAAAAACCTAAATTCCCGAAAATTTAAGTGCGTTCTACCGCCACCACTTTGTTTGTAGGCAGAGAGGTGGAGGTATCCAGGTCGAGATTATGAACAAAAAGGCCCTCTCACATACCTCATTGGAACCGCAATTCCATTATATTTTACACAAATTATTCTTAGCTAAAAATCTACTATTATTTGTTCTTAAAAATATTGACTCGACCACCACTTCGGAAGCGTTCCACGGAGAAGAAGTGGCAAGAAACTCCGTGGCGATCGCATATAGATCTATCATTAAATATTCTCACTACCACTATTAAATAAAAAGTTACAGCTTTTTTGATGTTATTCAGATCATGTTCTTATATACGTTAAGACACATCCCCATCTCAAATACTCGCTGAACTCGAGGGGGTGTTTCTTGAAACGCAATGAGGGATTACATGTCCTGCTCATGTTGTAGCAGTTCGCCAAGATTGGCGATCTCAATCTCTTGAATGTGTTTGCCCGCGAAGTGAATGTAGTCGTGCGGCGGGGCGTCGAGCGAACGCTTGCGGACTGAAAATACGAAAAACGACAGGTCTACACTCGTGTTTTTTCTAATTCCAAGACGGAGTAGAATGGTTTGCAGGGTTGCACGACAACTATCGTAAATTTTTTTAGTCATGTAATTGCTGTCGACATTTTTATCGATAGATAGTGAATGAAAATAAAATTTTGCAGAATGCTTAATAGTAAATGTCGTGACGTTATAACTAAGTAAACGCCTTATTTCTTCTTATTTTGACGACCACTAGTATCGAAATGAATCGTAAAGTACAGACGCACGAACTTACTCTAGTGGGAATTTTTCTTTTATTGTACACTATACGGATCACGGATAAAATATCCGATTAAACATAACGTGAACATACAAAAGTAAGGTAACGAGCGCGAGCGAAAGAGAGCACATCTGTAGGACTAGCATGGCAGGGCGCAATTTGCGCATTCTCGCATAGAGAATAACAATATCTCGCGCTTCTATGTCGCTCTTGCGCAAGTCGCGCCCTATTGTGCTAGTCCCACTGAACAGACCAAAGAGAGGTTGTATTTTAGATTTTATTTTAAGAGACGTATAAATTTTTAATTTTTAAATTATCGTTGTAGTTTTGAAAGGACAAAGTAAAACAATTAAGTTTTTTTTTAAAGATGTACAACACTACTACGTTCTGCTAAATATTATTTATTTCTTCCGCGTACTGCGGATACGTCTTTATATCGAGCTACTCAACAAAAATATAGAAGAACTACTACATTTTCAAATACCACACTATAAAAAGGACTGCCTTGTGTAAATTGTTAGGTTTGTAGCATAGGCATAAAAGCCATCTTTCTTTGTATGCTCTTTATAATCCTCTTCAAACGTCTTCTGAAATTTTTAGTTATAATTATGTTGATCTCAGTAGCTGTTGAGTAATTTGTTAGTCAGTCGGCAATTAGTTACAAGCCGTAAGTTTTATAACAGTAATTAAACTTTTTCTGTTTACTACGGCACTTTCATAAATATACAACTCTGACAATTTTGTTTAAAAATATTTTGCGAAAAACAACACCAACGACACTGCAAAGATACAACGTCCAACTTGCATTTGGAAAATATTACAGATGCAAGATGAAAAATACACAAAATACAGATGCAAAATATTACAGAGTCGAATGCAGCAAAAGTTCAGTTGGAGCACCGACGACAAAAGTCAAAGATGGCGGTAATTTTGTATTTATATTATTATAATAGTCCAACTGCTTCGATTTAAGTGGCGAATGATAATGACTAATATGTAATCGATGATAATTCAAATAAACAAGTTAGACTATTTATCACGCATGAACAACCAATTTTCAATAGATAGACGACAGAACATTCATCGACAGTAATTATTAACTGCTTGTAAGCAGGCAATACTTTTGGGCAATGAACTGTCATTTTACCCCACCGAGTATACATTAATATAATTTCGGCGTATTATTATAGTATGTATTGAATTGTTTTGACCCAAATAGTCAAGGCTATTTATTTTTCTACTAATAAAGTACTGAAATAATTTCATTGACAAAGTCAGCCTCTCCGTTCCGTCCGTTTCCTAATTCGAATGTGCTCCTTTTTCGCTGCGCGTGTGTAATAGTGCGTTGTCGAAGTTTTTGTTGTTTTTAGGTGTTACCTTGGGGTTATCTTATCAGTTTTTGTAAGTTTCACCTTGTTATTATTGTATTTAATTATTACCAACTGTTTTGAGTGGCAAAGTTTGGTCATAGAAATCAGCACTTAAATTAATATTTTACCTGCCGCATAAGCAAAAGCATGCGCCATTACTAATATATTGATCCTTGGTGAAAACTTGTTTTGTATCCCTGACCTATCACTTTGACAGTGACATATCATGACATTTCTTTGTTTACAAAAAATGTTTTGTAGTCTAGGTCAAAGTATACAGGTCACAATTTTATAAAAGAAATATATTTACTTTGTATTTACTTTAACAATTACCATAATAATCATTATATTTATTGTGTACGGTAATGACAAGGCATGGTAACGTAATTAAGAGCTCTGGTAATTATATAATAAAATTTATATATGTAATAAAATTTTGTATACAATTTTTGGATCACCACTTTTTCGTGTACGTGGTAATATACTAGTCGCTTCTATACTTTTTAAGGCTATGGAACATAAAATTAATAACCGCCTCTTGGCATACCTTCAATATCGATTTCATCGAGGGCATTCTACGGGAAATCTTCTCCTTGTGTACTTCCCAACTGTAGAGTAGGGCCATTGAGATACACCTCGAGGCTCTTGCCATGCCCCTAGATATCTCCAGTACCACAGACTGAATTTCTCACGTATGCCATAAAGTTCCTTCGTAGGTAAACCCTGTTGACCTTTCGGATTACACGTCCGATAAGCAGACTGGAAATGCTGATGCTCCTTAAGGATCTATTCTGTATGTTACTATTTTCTGCACTAAATAAACAATTTTCATTTTACTTTTTGAATGCGCAGACAATACCGTGTTTTTACTTAGACATACCTTTATTCAATGTAAAAGGCAAAAAGGAAACATTCAGCTTTGCCGAGAGGCTGTGATGAAACGTTTGAATTAGTGTTATCTCTGTTTGGAGCGATACAATCCGATTTCAAAACGGACCTTTAGCAGACGTGTTTATTTAATGCCTTGAATCCTTTTCAACTTACTCTAACTTTGCGAGATATAGCCTTTGTATCTATCACCTTGAGCTTTTTGGTATGGACATTAAGCACAACTACACTTCGTACACTAAATAATACTATATCAGTGTCATGGTCAAAACTATATCAGTAAAGTAACTTGACAAAATTAAATTTACCCTTTCCAAGGTCAGACGGCACTGCTTTTTCAACACAATTAAGCTCAAGATGTATTTGGCGGATAGCTCCAGAGCTATCACACTTATTGGTGGCCGTGGGACTCTTTGGAAGCTGCAGAGCATTGAGTACCGATGCGAATTAGAATTAGAATTAGAATTATCGGTATTTTATCTAATATATTTTGGATAGAGTGTGGATTTAAGATTTTCCTTATCCAGGGAGCTACTCACTGGGCGAAGTTCACACCTTTATGTTGTAGATATACCACTTATATTTACTAAGCTCTTTAGTTTCTCCCTCTACACATTCATTGTTAAGCTGATAAATGAATTTATGTGGTGGTCATTTTTAAAATTGTTTTTATTGTGCACAAAATAAGGTAATATATTATTTGTATACTTTTATTATTACCTAGGATTTGTGTACTCTAAAACATCTATCACATGATATAGCGTGACTAGCGGCGTGGCGGCCATATGGACAATAATGCAATTATTGTGACGGAAATGCGATATGGCGTGATATGTTAATGTTGTGATAAGTTTATATATATTTTACAAAATCAATTAAACATAATAATTATAACTACTGAACTTAAGTACTGTAAATTACAAATCACTTACATATTCAAAAAATAAAAAGGGTACAAAATATAAAAATTATTTAGCAATGCAATCATGCAATTCAAAAAAACAGTCAAAACATAATGGGGGAGAATCTGGACATTTTTTACATTCAGTGGTAGTGTTTACCCTTTTCTTATTTTTATAACAATTTCTGCAATCTTTTCTGGACGTTGCGTTTACTGTTTTGCCAGTGCTGAGACAACGCGGTTTAGCTTTTTCAATTTTAGTTAGTCTATGTTGGTCTCGGTCTCCATGTGTCTTCTGTGTGGTTTGTGGATCAGATGTTATTTCTGGCAAATAGGATTCAATAATTTTTTCCCTAAAATCGTAAAGTGTCATGCTTTTCTGATTAGAATATTTGTTATAAAGTATCCGGGCATTTATCAGACTCATCATCAGAGTATGTATAAAAATTTTCATATACCAAGGTAAAGTCTTCTTTTCGCATGGGTAGTAACTGAGCATTTGACCTTGTAGATCAACTCCGTACATGTTTTTGCTGTAATTTATTATGGCTACAGGTTTTGTTGCCACAGTGTCACGTCTGGTGTGCACTTCTTGAATTTCGTCACGAAATTCAGTAGATATGTAATTTATCTCCCATTTGTCCTTCCATTTCCCTATATGGACACCGTTACGACACTGTGATACATTTTCGCCTTCTTTTAGTTTTTTTGTAATTATGCTGTTTGGGTTATCTTCACGTGCCTTGTTTAATATACCGGTGCAATATGTATTTTTCTCCAATAGTTTGGCAGCTAAACCATAGCTATTATATAAATTGTTCATGAACACTGCATGGCCAGCATTTAATTTTCCCTCTAATAACATTTCCACTATTTTTTCTATGTGGCCTTTCTCAGCAGTTACACCTATCGTACTGTCAAAAACATTCAGCACTCTTAGGATGGTACCATTTGGTTCTGCAAGTACATACAACTTCATTCCATATTTACGTCCTTTTCCCTTGTTGTACTGGCGGAAAATAAGTCTACCACGCCATAAAATCATCGATTTGTCTAAAGACAAATTTTTACCGGGATAATAAATATACTCCATAACATTATTGAAGTTATCTATTACTAATTTGCACTTATCCATGCGATCGGCATTATTTTGTTTATCTACAAAATGAAGGCATCTTAGAATTATTTGAAATCTATTTCTCGACATATATTGTGGGAAGACTGATTTATATAAACGGTGAATTTTCCAGTAATCAACAATGCGATTCATTTTTGCTGTGCTAGTGTGTAATAGTAAGCCAATAAAAATTTTCAGTTCTTTTAGAGTGAGTGACTTCCATTGTGTAATTCGAGACTGAACCAGATTGGATGAACTTTTCAAGTTTTCTGTGTATCTATTTGAGCAATCGACGATTTTTTGTAAATAATCTTCACTGATAAATAAATCAAAATAATCCGTCGGGTTATTCGGTGCTGGCACTAGTAGTGCATTTGTTCGAGTAAAGGGAAATTCCCTCATAGAACTGAAGTCGTTACTCCAACGTGTCGTGGAAATTTCACACGATGGCTGGTCAGGCAGACATTGTAGCGATGACGCTGTTACTGCAAATGGCGTCGCAGAACTAGTAGAGGAAACGGGACGAACTGAGATTCGATTGTAGGGAATTTGTTCTTCATTTACAACCTCATTATATTGTTTCACCTGCAACTGCGAAGCTTCGTCTTCTTCGGATTCCGAGTGAATTTCACTATCAACAATTTCATATTTTATATCAACGATTTCACTCCCTGCGTAAAAGTGGTCGTTCGAATTCAGTGAAAACTCTTCCACCTCTGTAACTTTTAGACGTTTCTTAGCACGATTCGGCATTGCATTGAGTCTTTTCGAGGGTGCTGGTTGGTCACTCATATTTAAAAGAAAACAATAACAATACTCATAATAATAACCAAATTTCAAGCACACTAAATTAACGAATAACTGAACAAAATCGTCGTGTCGCCGCCTTGTCCGAACGCCGCCACTTTGCGCACTGGCTAACATAAACATTCGACAATGGCTGCCGGCCATCCCCACTGCACGCAAGTCGATCCCTTCCCTAGTAGTCAATATAAATATTATGCGCCGTTTCGCTGTGGCCGCTATACTATTCCATTTAGAAATTTGATAGCGACGTCCACACGATATCGCGTGATCAGCCGTTAGGTGAGAACTCGCATCACGCAATATCGCGTGATGCTAGTTCTCCTCCGAGTGACTCCTATTTTTTAATCTAAATCCCATACGTATTCTACAGTAATTGAAGTTTTTGACAATAGTCATTACCAGAAGTACCATTTTTCTAACCGTAGCTTCATTATTATTATTATTATTAT